ATTACTCCACATGTCAATAGTATTTACGGACCTTTTCATCATAAGACAAACTTATTTAGACAACCAAGCCTTTTATGTATTGACAATTTAATCAACTAGCATCTATGTAGAGGTAACGTTTTATTCTGAAAACTTTCCAACAGAAATGAGAGTGGATTACATTGCCAAAGGAAGAGGACTGGCGCATTTCTTACTTTGTGTTTTGGGACATAGGCCAATTGTTATGTACAACTCAGAAAGAAATTGCTATGTGGATATATGAGTTGATTTTCTATAATTCCATGCCATTCGAGAAATACATGCACAATTTTGAGTTGGATTAGAGATTTTCGCACTAACATTTATACTGCATCAAAGTAAATTTGAGGAGAAGCTGGTGAAAAAATAAGAGTAAATCTTATGTACATTGATAACGTATATATTGTCACCGTTAGATCCATAACATATATGTAAAAGTAGAATTTCAAATTTAATTTTGTATAATTATCATTTATCCAACGTTAACAGTATATATTATAGGAAAGATTAATCCAACAAATAAAGTGGCATAGTATTCATCGGTTAAATCTTCAGGATATATCCTATGTCAAACAACATGGGATTTGTGGAAGTGGTGTTTCAATTTTGGGTAAAATACCCAAAAACTCTTTGTGATTTGCTAAATGTTCAATTTAACTCCTTCTAATTTGAAAACTTACACGATAACTCTCTGTGATTTCAACTAAATTGAAATTGGACGGAAAGCATATAATCTATCGGTTATACATGAAATGCCAATATTGCCCTTATATAAATGAACTCCCTATGGTTTGTTGAATGTTCAATTTAACTTCCTCTAATTTGAAAAATTACACTATGACTCCCAACGATTTCGATTAAATTGAAAATTAAATGAAAAGCATCTCACGTATAGTATGGGTAGTATTGATATTTCACACACAACCGTTACACTTTATGCTTTCTGTCCAATTTTTAATTTAGTAAAAATTACAAGAAATTATAGTGTACGTTTTTAAATCAGAAAGAGTTAAATTGAATATTTATCAAATCACAGGAAGTTTTTTGGTATTTTACTCTTCAATTTTCAATGTCGAAGGCGAAGTGACTACTGACGAATATCAATAATGTGATCCAGATCCAGACAGGGTCCAAGCCCGCCTTGACGTTGGTTGAAGAGAAAATTTATGGGCCAGACCTAGATAATTCAGTTGCCCTGTGTCCAACCAAACAAATTTTGTTTAAGGATTTCCTTCTACTTTTTCCTTTTTTTTTTTTACTTTTTTTCCTTTTAAGATTTTCCTTTTCAACTTTTTCATAAGAAAAAGGGCCCAGATCCATTATGGAATACTTTTTTATTTTAAATTGAGCAGACAATAAAATCTATGTCTATATGAGTACGATAGAGTTTGGACAAGGACAAAAGCAGTCCAGATTCACACGAGGCCACCGTCCGAGCATTATTAACCATTAAATAATAGACAATGAAGCCAATCTTTTGCAACAATTTCATTCCTATAACTAACTTTACAAGAGGTATACATACAATTAGATAGGTCGATGGGTAAAGTCTGGGTTAGATATCTTTGATCCATATTCAAATTGTTAAATTTAGTTGGACCCAGATTCAGACCCAGACCAAACTCTTATGAGTCTGAAAAAATAAATCCAAACCTAGAATATACCCAATGGGTACTCGTTGTATTTTTCTAAATACACTAAAGTAAAATTATATTAAAAATATATAGATTTAAAATAATATAAGCATCATTCAATTTTTATTTTCAAATAATAAAATTAATATCAAGATGTTAAACGTACTATTATGAACTCAAAAAATAACTATTATTGACTGGTTCAATTTTTTTGTTTAAACTTTAACTGCATTTACGTCTAATCTTTCATTTATTTGTCTTTACTTTCTCTCTTTTTTTTTGGAAAATTTTGTACTAATTACAATGACAACTAGGATTGGTTTGAAAAAAAAAAATCATGAAATCTTCCTGTATTCTATTCAATGACCATAAAATATTAGAATATTTTATAAATATTCATGGGTTTGAATATTTTATATATTAAACCTTACCCAAGTACAGGGTTTGGCTCTAGGTAGGGTCTGAATTTGAAAAATTAAATCCAAACCCTACCCAAGTACATTGGGTCTAGGTCGGATCTAGATAAAATTTGATCCATTGATATGCCTACATACAATCTGAATGTCTAGTCATCAATGGCAAGTAATGTTATCAAACTTGGATCGAATAGCGACTCGGCTAAACTATTAGGTCAAAGGTTAACTGGTTGAATCGATCGAATCGTTCTAAAAAACCTGCTGACATTAGCATGATGTTACAATCATTTTGATATTTTTATAAGCTTCAGAAATATTTAAATTAAGTTCTTGATTGTATTTGGCCAATCATGAAAAATTTTTCAAAAATATTAGACTTGCAATTAAATATACAACTAATAATTATATATAAAAATATAAATTCATAGTTAAAATATGTTCATTCTCCAAAACTACTTGAAAACTAAATTAAAAGAAATATAATGCAAGTTGGAATCACTGATACTAAATTAATGATATCATAGGGATGAAAACATCTTGATTTGGAGATCATTTAGGAATGAGAGTGATTTTGATATTTACACTAATTGTGTGACATTTTCTTATTCCTATTAATAAATGAAAGTGTTACAATTTAAGTAACTCAAATTATGTTTGGAAAAAATAAGAAAAAAAAGTTTGAGAATCGAATCAAATAGTTGAATCGGGTCATTGGTTTAGGCGATTTTTGATGATTTTGACTGATTTTTTATTAAAATGATTTTATACCACAAACCACTTCAGAAAGAGGTTCAGTTCACGGTTAGACCGATTTCGACCGGTCCGAAACCGGGTCTAATAACACTAATAGCAAGTCATTACTATTAAGCTTCCATTGGATATCATGGTAAGTAGCCGGCAACAAGAGATGGTCTATTAATTTACTACTCCCTCATTCCCAAATTATTTAGGGAAATGTTATTTACACTCGCTTTTTTATTATTTGCATTTTCACTATCATTTTTATTATATATATTTTTATTTATTAGATTATATGATATAACAAATGGTGGGAGTGGAAATAATATTTTTTTATTATTTATTGCATTTCATGATTCTAATTTTTGAAGAATAATGATTTGATGGTGATGTTAGTAGATTTATTTTCAAAATCATCCTCAAAAATTGAAATTTAGTATGAAATATAGATAAAAACAAGGATAACATTGGAAAAAGAGATCAAAAGTAATTTTGATTTTGATAAGATGACAAACATTTTGGTACATCTTGAAATGAAAAGTCCGACACTTTTAATGATGTAATGGAATATTACTAACCCTATCTTCTATGCTTCTTGTAAACGTGCAACTTGCAAACATTTGCTACAGATGATTCAGGTCCTACAGTATTGTTGTCTAGCAATTTTCCGTTGTCGATTAGGACTTGAATTTCAGTCCAGCCTTTTTTCGCGTGCTTTAACTAGAGCCGACCTGTTCGCGTTTGCTAATTCCAGCAAAGGTGAAGCACCACAAAAAAGGCTGATCAAACCATCAAAAAGAGCAAAACAGTTGTGAGAGAGGCCTTAATGAATACCATTCATTCTAAAAGCTATTATTATATGGTTATAAAATGCAACACGTATATATAGACAATGTCAATTCTTCTACCCTCCGAAGAGAATCTGATGTCATTTATATTATTTGGAAGAGTCCATACAAAAACTTGACAGATAGCCATTTTGTCAGCAAGCCAACAAATAAAAGTGTATTTTCTTTGCCCTTTCCCCTGTTGTACACGGCTTTGAGTTATCCTACAAGGTCCCCAAAGGGGATGGACAAAGCTTGGGCTCATAATATATTGCAGTCCCATGGTAGAGGAGAAAAGAAGTTCTTTTGCACAAAGGAAAAAGATTGGCCACAGATACATCTCCATCTGAAAGTTCGCATTTTACATGGCAAAAGCAGCAACATACATTTCTTGCATCATTATTAAGGGACTACTTTTTTTGAATCTTCTCCACCTTTCCGCCTATCCTTGGATCCTTATCTGAAAAGCCATCTTTTTATCAGAAATTTTTTTTTATATATTGTTTATAAACATATTTTTCAATCCCCTTTTTATCTCGCATATATCAAATTGTTACAGTACATTTTTTTAACAAAAATTCCAGAAAATTGCAATCCAAACAGAAAATTTTTAACAAATCATTTGTTGTTTCGATATGAATCTAAGATAATTTTGTTCTCCGATTACTATCTCAACAATACCTACTGCAAATGATCTCATTACCCAACCTAACCCCGGAAAAACGAACTGCCGTGTAAAATTTGAAAGTTTCCATAAAGAAAATGAGTTCTAAATTAGGCAATGAGAACCTTTTTTTTTTCCTTGGATTAGAAAGTTACAATTGCTTCCAAATAGATGCAAATGGACATGACGTTTCCTTGGCGCATGCACTGAATTTTCAAAACAAGTTGAGTGCGAGGATGAGACTTGTGCCGACTAACATTGCGATTATCAGATTGTACAGCCATGTTTCTAGTCAGTGCGATCATCATTGCGAAATCTTGACCTCTTGGTACTTCTTGCTATGACCAATCACTGCACCTGATCCGCACATGTATTTTCCATTAAACATAATTGTCAGCAATTAGTCGTATCTTTTAGGGTCCACCACATAAATAAAGGGTTTGAGCGGATTATTTGTTAAAACTATTGAAGCGCATTTCTTGAAGAGATTGAAGTTCCGTAATTGAACTCATGGAGCTAAAAGCAGATATCAAATCACATACTTCACATACTATAGTAACTTGTTGGGAATTATATAGTAAAGTTCATTTCTTGAAGAGATTGATGTTCAAAGACGGTTTATCAAATCGCACATTTATAATTCAAGGGGAGACTTTTACGCCTCACAATTCACACACTTCAAATACACTATAGTACTAACTTATTAGGGAGTTTCAATGAGGATGGTTCCTTAATTACTGTTTTGGGAATGGAAAGGGAGCACAAAGATGTAGTATTGTTCAAACATCAAACCACATACATATATTCATATATATATAGACTTGAATTAGGGAAATTCCAAAATATTCCCCTAATTATAAATTTCCGAAGTGAAATGCAAAATCACTTCAGATGCTACTAGACTGTACTAATCCCTCAACCCTAGAAAACACAAGAAATGCATACCATAATTATTTCAACATCAAACTAAGTATGGTAAGATGCCCTCCAACCCAATCTAAGTAGGAGGATTCTTTTCATTTTCCTTCTCTCCACCTCTTCCGTTCTTGACCTCTGAAAAAGGTGCCAAACAATTCCTCCGCCTCCTCAAGGCTTCATCACCACTAGAACACAAGCAATGCACATCATAATTATTTCAACATCCAACTAAGTATGGTAACAAGATGTCCTCCAACCTACTAATCTAAATAGGACGATTCTTCTCATTTTCCCATTTCCTGCCCTCCACCTCTCTCGCTCTCGACCTCCACCTGAAAAAGGTGCCAAACAATTCCTCCGTCTCCTCAAGGCTTCTGCCCTTTGTCTCAGGAAGCAGCGTACAGAAAAATAGAAAGCCAGCAAATGCAATTGCCCCGTAGAAAAAGAAGGACCCCCCAATAGTAATGGCATTGTACAAAGAAATAAAGGTCATCAAGATTATGCCGCTAGTGACCCTATTGATGGCCACGGCTATGCTGTTCCCCTGTGCCCTCAACTTCAAAGGGAAAATCTCAGAGCTATACACCCAAGCAATCGGACCCATCCCCGACGAGAAGGTCGCCACGCTTGACAACGTGCAGAAAAAGCAAATGCCTATGGCCCATGTCAGCTTCTGTCCTGGATAATGATCAATGACCGTCAATCCAATGGCCAGTCCCCAGAGCGATGCCACCAAACCAGCAGAGCTAGCGATAAGCAATACACGCCGACCGACCCTGTCCAGATAACATGTGGAAATCAAGATAAAGATGGTTTTGGTTACACCGACAGCTATGGTGCAGAGCAACTTCCCGTTAGTGCTCGCGATGCCCGCTTTTTCAAAAATCCTAGGACTGTACATCACCACGGAATCTATCCCGCTCGCTTGCTGGAAGAAATGTACACCGATGCCTGCGATTAAAATGTGCAGAACTTTGGGTGTAGGGTGGATGAACAGCTCTTTCCACACGCCCGCACCGCCCTTCTTGCGTCTGGGCACCTCGACAACGTCCTCATTGCACTCGGCAGGGATGCCGGCGGCTTCCTTGATATCAGCCAATCTGTCGTGTGATTCTTGCAGAGACTCGGAGGTTCTGTCCAGAACTTTTCTTGCATCCGCAAGTCTGCCCTGCATCACCAGCCATCGGGGCGATTCCGGCATGGCCAAGACCCCGAGGCCTAGAAGCACTGAGGGCAGCGCACCAACCCCCATCATGAACCGCCAGCCCAAGTTAATGGGAAGCTTGGCAAAAAAATAGTTAGACACGTATCCCAGCAAGACACCTGTTGCATTCAAGAAACACAAAAGAAAAAAAAAAAATCATTGACTACTGAAATTGAATCTTATATTCTTCTTTTAACAACAACGTTACAAAGTTATGGTACAGCATCCAACGTGATAGGTGATGCAATGTTTTCCACGTTGTCAAGAATTAAAGCGCGGTGACCATAGGAATTATTAATATGTTGCTTGGTGAATAAAAAAAAGTGATAGGTCATTGTTGCAATTGGCGTCTTTGCCTTGTTGGATGCTTCTTCATGCTTGTAGTTATCAAGTTTTGGGTTTAGTCGATTGCTATAATGACCGACTCTCAAATAACTACGTAACCATAGTGATACCTGGCAGGGTTTGTATTGATTCTCGATCCCACCTAATCACCGTCAACCCCACTAGCCTTGAAGGAACCAAGGGAAAAAAAAAAAAAAAAAAAAACTTGCGGTTCTTGCGAAGAACTGTACTATTATTCATGTGTTAGGTCATCCCGTAGGATAATCATCCGTTTTACTTGCAGGTCTTGTTAGTTTATTCTCTGTTCTTATCAGATCTAAAGTCCATCAATCAATCTTTTCATGAGACTCTTCACATAACTCGGGACTTTTCAGGACGGAAGCTCTGGAATCCTAGGATTCCTCCTTGCTCTTCACAACTTGAAAACAATGAGAAGATAAACAATAACGAATTCTAGTGGTTGTTAAGAGACATGAGAAGATGAGTCATCTCCTTAGTCTTTTCATTTGAAGGATAAAATATAAAATGAAGGAAAGACAATCAAGTATTTAACAAATATAGATTCAATGGCGAGAGAAAGGCTATGCAGAGTTTTCTCCACTGTTTGATGACACTTATGGCTAGTTTGGGAGTTTAGGGTAGAAAAAAAAAGGAAAAGAAATCTTAAGTTAATGAAAGAAATAAAAAGAAATTTTTTATGTTGTTTGAGAGATTAAAAAAGAAAAAAAAAGATTTTGGATACATATGTCATTAAAAATTTGTTCAATTAATCATTTTAAAAAAAAAATTCATAGGCACACTTTTGCTTTCTGTCCAAATCAACCCAAAATAGACAGAAAACTTTTCTCTACTGTAGCGTCAAAACAGATCTAACCAAATTAGCCTATTTTCTTTCTTTTTTAACATCAAGAATCTCCCAAACGTTGAAAAATTGATTTCCTATATCACTTTTTTTTTTCCGGCCAAATCTCTCCTATCAAACGCAGTATTATGGGTGAGAAGGGTATGGGAATAGGTGAAAGGATTAAAGAAGAAAAAGTTCAGGTTCGGCTGGGGACAAGTGAGAAAGCTACGAGGATGCACGAGAGGATTAAAAAATCTATATGAAAAAAAAAACATTTAACAAAAAGAGGGCTATAGAGTAAATTAATATCTCACTATGTACGTGTCACGTATTTATTTCCATGGAGTATGTATTGTAGTGCACTTTTGCACTGAGAAGTAAAGTCATCAAAAAGGGTATAACTACGGTTGAGCTAATGAGGATAATAGGGCCAACTAGTAGCTAAGTAGCCCCCATTATTAAAAAAAAAAAAAAAAAAAACTCATCCTCCTAGTGTTGTTAGACAAAATTTAAAGTCAAAAATTCCACAACCTACACAAACAAGAAAAGATATGGCATTTCCTTCTTTGATAATAAGTTGATGACCCAAAACAACACATCCAACCAATAATTCTTAGCAACAACATTAGGTGGTTTCCTGCGAATCCACGTCTTGTCTTGTTGTTTATTTTAGATAAATGTAAATGATCATATAAATCATCAATCTAAAAATTATTAAATTAATGAGTCAATGTAAATTAATTATTTTTTTTAATAGTGTAACTGCGACTACTCGAATCCAAAACCTCTATTGAAATCAACTATTTAGATTCCTCTTAACCTTTTCAAGATATTCATGTCTATTTATAAGCTATAAGCTATGAACATGAATGAACAAAATGGTTGGGAGATTAGACTAGCATGGTCCCTTTCCAAGGATGACATTTTGCTTCCTCTGCCCGTTATCATAATTATAAGAAGACAAAAATGTACGTATACAAATAAATGTACTTGTAGTGGACCAACCACACGAACAATTTTTTCGGGACAAGCAACAATTTTATTATTATTAATAGTAATATAATAATGGTGGATGAGTCAATAGAAAAAGACCACGTACCAAAGTTGATAAACACTTCGGGAAAAGAAGTGAGAAAACCTCTAGATGATGACGGAGCCACCTCGGCGGTATATACGGGTGCGATCATGAGAGCATAGCCGACTCCTATTCCGGCCACAAAACGGCCAAACATTAGGAAAGCATAGTTGGTGGCAAATCCCATTAAAAAGGCCCCGGCGAAGAAGACGACGGCGGCGATGACTATGGTGTATCGTCGGCCAACCAAGTCGGACGTCTTTCCGGCAATGGCTGACCCCACAAGAGAGTATATATTGATGGTTCCCACCAAAATTTCTATTTGTACATCGGAGACGTGAAGATCCTGCTTTATGTAAAGTGTGGCTCCACTCATCACTCCTGTGTCTGCATGTGCATGGACCACCAAAAGATTTCAGTACACACTCCACCTATTAAATTTCCTCAAGTGTATGTTCTACTTCCATCAAGAACAAAATAATTTCTTTAACGAGCCAACAAAAAAAAAAAATTAGACAAAAGTATAATAATTCTCTCTCTCTCTCTCTCTTTATTTATTTATTCCTTTTTTTTCGTGGGATTGGAGGGTTTTAGGAAATTATCCATGCTACTACATCAGTAGAAGAATTTCTTCAACAAGCAAAAAAAAAAAAAAAAAGACAAACTCATGATAATTGTTTTTTTTTTTTTGGGGTACAGGGGCTGGAGGGATCAGGAAATGAAAAGGGAAACTTTACTGAAAAAGGATAAAATTTATTTTTTTAAAAAAAAAATTTGTTGAAAGAAATGGAGAGGTAATTTAATCTAAGGAAAAGTAAACATTAGGAGCAAGCTGATCTTACCATAACCAAGCAGGATTGATGTCATGGAGGCTAAAAGAGCACAGGCCAAGGAATATTTGTTCCTTTTAGGCCTTGGAGGAGGACCAAAATCTGGAATAGACGACTCCGCCCTAGTAAGGGCTTTACTTAGCTGTTGTTCCGCCATGACAAATCGAGGTTAGAAGCAGGAGGAGGAGGAGAAAGGGGAAAGAGAGAAGATCGATGTAGAGAGTGATTCTTGTGTCTGAAGCTCCGGTGTTGTGACTTGTGAGAAAGAGAAGATATGAAATGATTCAAGGATTGAAGAGGGTACAGATGGGCTTTTATTTGTGACTCGTATTTGGATCAACTCAATTTTCAAAATTCAATGATTTAGATCGTGCCACATTATTTCTCCAAATAGTGTGGCACAACTTTGATCATTGAATCTTTAAAAACCGGATCTCCTCAAATTTTGACCTTTACTTTTAAACTATAACTAGTGTTTTGACCCGTGCTATGCACGGGTTATATTTCAAATCAAAATAATATTTTATATATTGTGTTACAAAATAATAAATATATATAATAAAATTTTTAAAGAAATGCATGCTTAATATCTTGAAAAAAATTGTAATTTATAATGATTTACATGATAAAAGAATTGTTAACGCATTTAAGGAGAGAGTTAGGTTGGGTGGTAAGGTGAGAAGAGTTTTCTAAAAAAAAGTCAATTTATCAATATCCAACAAAACATATTACTATGTTATACCCATATATCAAAACTTGTAATACAAAAAAATAAATTATAACCAATTTATTTTCTTCCATTTTTAGAAAAAAAAAGATCTTTCTCCTATCTTGTGCCCCTAAATTTGTTGAATGTATTTCGATTAACATTTTTCATAAACTTTAACGTATATTTTAAAGAAAATTCTCCGTACTATGTGTTTTTAGTGTTCTTAAAATTATTAAAAATCACTATCATTTCTCTCTTTTCTTATACGCCAGTTAGTCATCAGATGCCTCCTACGACTTTTATACCTTCTACCATGGTACCACCCTTTCTATTATTATTATTTTTTTGTCATCTCTGTCATATCCCTGCAATCCCTGTAATCCATATTTCTTCTTCAACCTTTCCTGCTACTTTTTAACACCTCACCATTTTCTTCCCTCGCTCCTCCCCCTATACCTAACATATAAATTCATATTCCTACGATTCAATATATTTAACTTTACCTATCATAATAAAAATATAAAATTAAAAATTAATTACAATGGTTGCAATTATTAGTATCTAAAAATGGAAACGAAAAACTGACAATATCTATAATATCCTCAAGTACTACAATCAATTCATATATATATATATATATATATATATATATATATATATATTTTAACATAGCAAATACATATTTATATATGAAGACAGTAATAAGAATACATAAAATAACTAATGATATCAAAAGTTATCATTAGTGTTTGGGTTTTACACTCTTATTCAAATCTAATGTTAAATTACAAATTAAGTAGTATTTTAAGGTTGAATGTTCTACATCTTTCTCTTAAACTATAATATTACTTTTTTAAAATTTTTTGGTAGAACTGGTGTTGTTATTATCATTATTTTTTATCAAAAATGAATATTTCAAAAGGCCAGTGGTACTTTGTTTTTTATTTAGTGATTTCATAATTTAGATTTCATGAATGGTACCATTCTTGATTTTTTAAATCCACGACATTATTTCCTTTTTGTTTTCTATTTAATTTTGCCCTTTTACTTAGGAATGCTAAGTTTAAAGAAAAAATATTATCATTTACTTTTTTACTTTTACTAAGTTTGGCAATATTTTATTTTTATTTACCCTCCCACTAATAAACTTCAAACCAAATTCCTATATAAGCGGAGCTACTACTTTTTTAAATTAGAAAGGCATGGGAGCCACTTCTTACTTAAGAAAATGTTATTTGCACTCAATTTTTTATTATTTGCAATTCCATCATTTATTTTATCATATAGTCTAATTATTGAAACTTATATGATCAAAATGATTATTGGAGTGTGAATAACAAAAATTGAGTGTAAATAATCTTACTTATTTAAATTAATAAGAAAGCATGAATTGATGTTATATTTGTTATCTTTTCTTATGGTCTTATGGAAGTTTTAATTGTTGTAAAATTATAAATAACACAAGGCAATCGAAAACGTGATGGGTTGAAGTTCAACACCCCCTTAACTTTATATTTACCTGCACTTTACCCTTCAACTTTACATTTAGTTGTACATTTGTGATTTTTTTGAAACGTGATTGTAATTTGCAAAACTCATTTGTAGGGGTGGTTATAGGGTTAGTTTGGGGATAAATATTTTTTAATTATAAAAATGTAACATTGTATTAAAATAGCATACGAATAAGCATTTGCCTTTAATTATGGAGTAAAAAGGATTTAAAGTATAAATAACAAAGTATAAACCGTTTATGAAGTAGATAGTGGAAATGTTTTAAATTTTAAATTTGATTGGTGATAGGGTTAGTTATAACCCACTACTTTTTATGTATTAAAATAAATACAAAAATTTAGAAAAAAGAATGAGAAGTTTAGAAGCCATTTAGAGGGTCTCTGATAAAAACCCCTTCCTGAATACATATAGATATAGATTGTAGACAAATTGTAATCCATTTTAGTCAGTGGCTCGGATTCGCATTCTCATTTATCCTCACCCGGGCTTCGAGGTGACTCTTGGCCCAATATCTTTCACTCTCCAATATACTAGTGTCCTGATTCATGATCGCTCTAATACTAACTATAATATTTTCAATCATGAGTTGTCCAATAATTTTTGAGCAAAATGAGAGGTTCAAAACATTAAAATTAAATTATTAGTAATCGGTGATTCTGGAACTTATGTTCGTTTTCTTTCCTTTGACAGAATTTACCACCCAAAAAAGAAATAAGAGCAAAATACTAGAAAACTGCAAAATTTTTCAAATTAATAAACAGTTTATCTAACGAAATGGGCACTTGTTGCTAACCAGCAGCCACTATATGCCAGTTAGAAATATCCATTCATAGAAGATGTTATTTAGGTAAATTCACTAATTCATTATATGGCTTCTTCTGTTTAAGATGATTTGCATACATATCTCCCATCTATTAATTGCAAATTGACGTGGATGAGTAGAGGTCCAGTCCCGTTGATCGATAATGTTGATTGTATTGACTTTTTCTTTCGTAATATCACCAACGTTATTAACCACAAATTCGATTATTCTTCCATTTGTGGGACAGAGGCGTCATTGATGTTCAAGCGATTCCTGCACGTTGAGATGAAGTTCTATATCACAAATTTCTATACAAAGTCATCGTTCAGAATACTCGAGGAACCATCACTTCAATTTCTTGCAAAATGACCAAGACTTAGTATTTGAAGGTGACAAATAACTATTTTTATTATTATTAGTTACAAGAAAGCCAGCGATACCTTGATTCAATGGTAAAAACAATTAAAGTGAAGGACCAAAAAAAGAAGAAGAAGAAGAGGTTTTTGGATACAAATGTTACTAAATGAAAGTTTAGTCTTAATTTTGTTATTATTTGTCCTACTACTTGGAATCAGTTTGTCAAGCTGCTGAATTATAATGTGTTTGTCTTGATGCAACCATTTGATTAGTTGCAATATTATGAGGAAAAAGAAAAAAAAAGAACCCTATAACTAAATGCTTTGGTAAGTGAGTATCGGTTAGTTGTGTTGTGTTACTACATATAAAAAAATTTTAAACAAAATTAAAAAAAAATGTAACCAAATGCTTTCCTAAACATGTTGGCGTAAACAAAATTTTGCCTATGTCTGAGAAGAATAAATTGAAACGAGAAATAAGTACTTTGTTTAGTAGTTATACAAAGATAATTTTTACTATCCAAAAAAAAAAAACAACAACAAAACACTAGGAAATTAAGGTTGTTCCAAATTAATAGAAGACTTGTTTAAGTAAATTTGCTAATTCATAATTTGAGCTGCTTCTATTTGTACGGTTTCAATAAATCTCTCATCTTTTAATTGCAAATTAATGTGGATGAGTGGAAGTCATGTCTATTGATAGGTAGTAATGATGTGATGTTACTTGTTTTCTGGCTTCCTGATTTTGTGTACCTCACCAACGTTATTAACCACGAATCCCATTATTCTTGCATGTGTGGGGCTGAACCATCCTTAATTTTCTAGCGTTTCGAGCACGAATGAGTTGAAGATGCATAGTCACAAATTTTCTGTCCAGAATAGTTGAGGAACAATCAATTTTGTTTCTTGCATAAGACCAAGACTTGGCAAGGTCAACTTACCAGAATCCCAGTATGGACTTTTCCCAGTCTTCCCACGCGTAAGAAAATTATCAAATGAAGGACAATGACTCTGTTCCTTGAAGAGTTCGACCATAAGTCATGACTACTGGTTGATAGCTCTTCATTTTTATTAGAAATTCTGTACTTTTCAAGATTGCTCAAACTTAGGAATTTAGCTGGAGACCTTCGACCAAAATTTTTTTAAAATACTGTTTAATGTCCAAATGTGAAAACTCATCATTTTGATTAATCCTTGAACTTTGGCGAATTAGTTTTGATTGGATTGCAATGAATCTGGAATTCCCGGTGCCGTTCCATGAAGTTTTTTAACTGACTAATTTGCGTCAAAGATTTTTTCAAGCTTACTTTTCTTTGTTTAACTGAATCTGCATCTTTTTTTTTTTGGGGGCATCATCTAATTTGCTGTTTTGTGTAGACATAGGTTTGGGTTTGAGTTTAATTTTACCATTTATTATAGTTATTAAACTTTGTTTATTTAAGTGCAGAAAAGAATTGGTTTAGACGCTCCAATAGAATATATATACTCATAATAGTGCTACGTTAATATGTTAATAAATTTGAAATGAACAGACATAGAACCTACAATATAAAAGCCTTTGTTTGATTAAGAATTTTTAGTTGATAACTAGATTTGGAATTAACACAAAAGTTAAGGGATTAAATAACGAATTTCCCATTTTTGCTTTCTCCTTCACACATTTGAAGTCCCTTAGATAGATTAACCATGCATCGCTTCCCTCTTTTATTGGGCTATGGCACTCCAAGTCGATTCTCTCCCATGGAAACTAAATAAATTCTACTCTTTACATAAAGCAAATGGTGGTGTGGTTGTATAGTCATAACTTGACTGTACAAACGGTTGTATAACGATGTAATATTTTTTGAACACCTTATATTTTTATGCGAATTATTTATAAAACTTCATAGTAGGTGCATAATTATTATATATGAAACCGATATGAATAATTATTATATA